TCGATCTGATTCTTTGACTGTCCATGTCTCGCATGCATAGTAAAATATGAAAAAGACTAAAGTTGAAACGAGTCTCTTTTTGTTTGTCATAGTAATGTGACGATCACGCCAGACCCCGTTTAGTTCACTCGTTGCTGCTCTTGCTAGTTGAATGCGTCTTCTAATTTCGGATTCACAACTGCCTGTGTTGTTAACTAGAGCTCCAAGATATATCATAGATGAGACTACCTCGCATCCCGCAATAGTTTGGGTTTCAGGAAACTGTTGTTGGCGATCAATAACCATGATTTTGGTTTTGTTGTAGTTAACCATGAGTCCAAATTTAGCACTTTCTACCTCGAGTTTTTTTAATAATTTAGTAATTTCTTCTGGAGTAGAGGCTAGAAGTGTAGTGTCGTCTGCGAAACGCAAGTTAGATATCTTAACACCACCTAGGTTTACTCCTCCCTCCCAACCATCCAAAACTCTGCGCATTATGAACTCCGAATAGATGTTAAATAATAAGGGAGATAAAACGCGTACTTGGCGTACTCCCTTCTCCAAAGTGCATTTGTCAGACAGATATCCGTTCATTCGAATATATGCCAGGTTATCTTGATACAGTTTGCTAATAAGGTGAGTCAAGTGTTTAGGTACACCCATTATCGTCAATATGTTCCATAGTTTGTCCCATCTAACATTATCAAAGGCCTTTGCATAATCGACGAAACATATAAATATCGGGATCTGGTATTCTCTGGCTTTTTCTATGATGTTTCGTACATTAAGGATTTGTTCTCTAGTACCTCTGCCCTTTACAAATCCAGCCTGCTCAGGTGCTATTTGCCAACTTATGAAGTTTTCTAGACGCCGTTGCAGTATGTAGAGGATCACCTTACTGGCGTGTGATATTAGAGCTAATAGCCTAATAGCCTAAACAAAATAATATAGTTAACATTTAACATAAAAAAAAAAACATTTAAGATAACATTCATATTTTGTTTAGCAGTTTACTTTTCTCGAGTAATTTGATCACTAGTTAATTCCGTCTATAGTCTATGTTGCTTAAGACCTATTTGAAGATAGTATTGATACCGAGCTGCGTATTACAGTGCTGACATTTTGGTTGTCAACAGATAGCCGTGTGTTGTATGGGTTTGTTCTATCCGAAATCTCCGTCTGATTATCATATTTTTCCGAGATAAACTGGGATATGTTAGAAGATTCACTGTCGAATTGGTTTCTTGTACTCATAAAGAGTATATCGAAATAAAATAAAGACAGTTAAGATTTTATTTTACGTACAGTGCCTCTGTATATTCACCTATACGTATTTCATCCTGTAGCATGTATAAATTCTTTATAACCATCGAATATTCAAAGTATAAAAATTATTTGGTGCACCTCTGGGCTATGTATACAATTTTGTGTGTCTTTGTTTATATTCCATTATCGAAGAAAAAATCCAACTGCGTAGAAGAAATATGGTTATATTTTACGTCTAAGTTCTGCAATTTTCAAAGCTAACGAATGATCAAGGTCACATATCCTGAGCGCGTCGTTTGATAAGAATTCGGATTGGCTAGTCCTTTTGACCGATAGGAGGGGTAAGGAAGGTCAAGAGACAAGAGGTTTGAGATTTTAGAGAGAAAAGACGCGGCGTGGGTGGCCTGAAGAAAGCCTGAGAAGTGGTAATAAGTAAAATTATAAATATTAGGGATTGGCTAACTGTCATATTAATTATTATTATAAAGTTTTAAAATTTAGTATTAAAATGTTAATGGCGACATTTTGTAGCAGAAATAAATTATTACAAATGAAAAATGTCTTTTTAAATGGAACTAAGCATTGGGGCTAACCTTTTTAAAAACAAAACAAAACAAATTCTACACTTATGGTTAGGTATGTACCAAATGTCAAAAAAAAATGCTAACTGTCATATGTTAAGTTCTTATAGTATCTCCAACTTCTAGAGTTGTAAATCGATAGCAACATTGTAAGTTTGTTTTTGTTATTTTGTATTTATTATTTATATTTATAACTGTTTATGGTGAGCCAATAATAAATATGTAATTTTTCTCCCCACAAAAGAGTATTATCTTTTTTTTTGAAAGAAAAGCCTGTCTTTTCATTCAGCAGAAAGATTCTTGTGCGCGGCGTCCATTTTAAATAGCTTAGGAATTTTTTAAGAAGCTTTTAAATAGCTTCTTGTATTGTATTGTCCAGGAGATCCATGTTAGTACCCTTTTTGATTCACTTTTTGTACCTACCCCATTCCAGTCTCCTTGTTTCATTCACTTTCTCACGAGCCAGCTCTTCAAACAAACCAAAAACAGCCGTTTGAAAACGTTTTGGTTTGTTTTGCTTACCCTATCCCCAACCCAACAATTTCTGTCCCCAATTTGCAACCCCCTATAATAATACAGTATGTGGTAGGCAAAATAACCGTCACAATTCTAGAAGCGAAAATACAGAGGGACTATACGTGAAATCAAATCTTAACTGTCTTTCTTCTAGAAATATTTGTTTAAAACCAGATTTGCCGGAATTTACAATTTTTACTTTGATGTGTGCATTGTTTCATTCATTTTGCTAATATGTTGGCATTCTATATCAACTTTTAGTTTCCTGGACTTTTAAGAAATGAAAATTGTTAATTTGTAACTCTTCCTCTCTCTTTCTTTCTTTCTTTCTTTATTTTGAAAAAAAAACAAGATAATTCCTGCAGGAATATATAGTGACAATATAAGGTGTGTTCATTTTTTCCTTTCTGACTATTTGTAGCAATTATTTATTTGTAACTCTCTTTCTTTCTCTCTCTCCTTTTTTCTCTCTTCCTTTATTTTGTAAAAAAAGATAATTCTGACACGAATATAGAGCGACAATATGAGGTAAGTGTGTTTGTTTCTCGTTCTTTTTGACTACGTGTGCATTTTGGTTTTTTAGAGAGGTTTAGCATAATTGTAATTTTTTGAGAATCGTTCTTAAACCGATCTTTTCATATGTCAAGTATTGATTTTTTCTCGTTCCTCTTAAAAAGACAAGGTGGCGTCCTTTTTTTCTCCTTTCCTTTTGTACCAAATTTATGTCATTTCCGTTAGTACGTATTAATTTCTAATTTTTTATCTAAGTATACTCCATCCTAGATCTACAGACCCACGTTTCAAAGCTCTTCTTCTTCTTAGGGTGCCTTTCCGTTCAGAATGTTGGCGATCATTCTAGCTATGATGACTTTGTTGGTTGCTATACGGAATAGCTGTGTTGAGGTCTTTCTGTACCATGCTCTCAGGTTAGTAATTATTTATATAGCAATATTTTCTTCGTCTTGGGTCGCTTTTTTCTTCAATTTTACCTTGCAAAATGCATTGGAGTAACTTATATCTGCCTTGACTTTTTATTATATGTCCCAAGTACTGTAGCTTACGGTGTTTCTCAATGATGATCAAATCTGCGATTGTGTTCATCCTCCGTATTACTTCTTCATTGGTGACTTTGTCCATGGTATACTCAGTATCCTTTTGTATAATTATAAATCAAAAGCCTAAAGTTTTGATAGAGTTTTCGCCTTCAATGTTTACGTTTCTACTGCGTACAGAAGTACATATAACATTCAAAGCTCACGTCCTTCAAAACACCTGAGTGCTGGTTTGCAAGGTTGTTCACCTTGCACCTGGATTTCTCTTCTCTCTTTTAATCTCCAATATCCCTTCCCAACAAGTTACGTTAAAATTGTAAAAAGTAATAATTTAAGTAGGTACATAGGATCGGTATTATAGAATAATGGAGAAATGGATGGAGATACATACAGTAGAATTAGGGTTAGATGAATGAAGTGGAAGAAAGCGAATGGTATGTTGTGTGACAGAAAAATTCCAATGAAGCTGACAAGAAGATTTTATATAACATACAAAGACCCGATGTGATGTACATAACTAAATGTTGGGCAGTACATTAAAAGAGGAACAACGAATGTATGTGGCTGAAATGGAAATGCTTGAATGGATGAGTGGATTGATGAAAAAGGATAAAATTAAGAATGTGTAAACCAGAGGTGGCACCAATTGATGCCAAAATGAGAGAACATAGATTAATATAGTTTCGCCAAGTTTAACGTAGAGATATTAAGCACTCAAAACAAATAATTGCTAATCTACGAGTTCCTGGGAGGAGTAGTAGAGGAAAACCAAAGAACACCTGGAGCGAGTTGCTTATGCATAACATGTCGGTAAAAGGGATTGATATTGATATGAGCTAAGACAGACTCTTATGGAGAAATGTAATTAGGAAAGAAGATCCCACATAAAGGTAAAGCAAAGAGGATTATAATTAGAAATTCTCTTCTAGTAGTTTACACTGTTTGACTGAGTTTTTCTCAAAAAATATTCAAATTATGTTTGAAAAATAAGACTTTTACTAGAAATTGGATTTACTAAGGCACACTTTTCATAAATTAAATAATATTGAAGTATACTTCTCGATTCTAAACTGTTTAAAAGTGTTTTTATTGAAAATAATTATTAAATTTGTTGTTTTAAAATATAAGTACCGATTTTGCATCAAAATATTATCTACATAATATTTTCTAATCAATATCAGTTAAAAGTTTGTCGAAAAAAGTTTAAACTCAATTTCATCACCGGGAATCATCCAAGTAGCCACAGCTATAGAAAATATAAAAGATTATAAATATAAAACATGTGGTTATTTAAAACTATGCCCTAGTGTGGGTTTGGGTTACATAATATAAATATACAACAAAATTATTAGCAGAAAAAACGAAAAAACAATTAATATTAATATAGCATTCATTTTCCGCAGAATGCTTTATTAATTTTATTTTGTAAAATCTTGATACTTTGGTCCAAATAACCTAACCCTAGTATGTGTCCCAATAGATATAACTCACTCTATATATTCAAAAACTGTAGAAAAATTGGGTGAAATATGTCTCTATGAAAATGTTCTAATGGCTATCTCTATGAAAATGTCTCTAATATTAATTTGTTATTAAAAAAACTTACCTCAGAGCTTAATGAAGACAACTGCCACTGGTTACTAAAATCCAAATCTTTCTTTAATCCCTTTTGCACACTATTGCCTTTATTATCTTGATTAAGTCCACTAAAATTTGGGCATACCTTAAAACTATCGTAGTCGTTTTCTCTTTCGGTGGGAATATACTCTAAAGCAAGAGTTTGATTATATTCCAAAGGTTTTACTTTACTGCCCAAAGAACTATGAGAATCACTATAAGTTGTATCTTCCGTATCCTTGCTGTCACTTTTTTCAAAAGATGATTTTGTTTCACTCCCATTACTAGAATTATTGTTTCTGATATCTTCGGGTGGTAAAGATAAAACCTGAGAAGTTTGTAATGTTGGATAGACGTGAAAGCTGTCGAAGAAATCTTCTGTTTCCTTAGATTCTATAGATTTTGACTCGAAAGATTCTTCCAGGGATATTGCTGGACAAACTCGAAAGCTGTTAAATGTATTAGTATTGCTATTATTCGATTGGTCACAAACATCCACGGTGCTGGGACGGCGTTTTGCTACAGGACTTCTCGTAAGATTATGTAAAACTTCAATTGGTTTATGCAGAAGAGGACTGGTGTTATTTGAACGGTTGTTGGGTCCCAATGGCGAGGTTGGCTTAATAACGTTCGTTACAGTTAAATGGTCTGATGATTTGCTTTTGGTATTTATTCTTAGTTTAACTGTAACAAATAGAACACGTTTATTATTTAATTAATATTTTGTTTCAAATTGTAAATTTTGGTTTAAATTTATTTTAAAATGTTTAAATTTAAAGTATTACTTTCTAGTTAGTTTAGTTTTTCATTTATTATATTTTTATTTTAAAGACAAGCTCCAAGATTACTTAAAACGCTCATAAATTCGGTGGTAGTTACCATGGTAGTATAAGCATCTCCAGTTTAGTGGTCTAAAGTTAAAGCTTTTCGAAAGATTGGGAAACTTGATTCTAATAGGAAGTTTTCGGCAATTTCATAACTCTCTTAGCATCCCTATGGATTCTGTTTGACATAACCTTCGTAACGTATTTGAGATCAAAAGGTACTGCCAGTAGAGTGCACAGATTGAAGTCATATAGGTATTGCAGAGCAGTGATTATACATGGTCATTTATTGTTACTTGGAGAATCCTCTCCTTCAGATAAGACAAGATAAGTTTTGATGGGATTTAGAGCCAAATAGCGACCTCGAGTCAACAGGAATGGCTGAGAAAAAGGTTAGTTTCCTCTGAGATGGAGATATTTGATACATATGTGAATCTGGATTAGAAGAAATATCAGAGGTATGTTTGTAATGCCGAAAAGATGTAAAAAAAAACCGTTATACTCTAAGACAGTATATGACTCTAGAAAAAAGATCACAGTCGCATTAAATACTCTTAGTTTAGAGAAAAACTTCGAAATTGGTTTGGTAATAAAAGGAGATTCTAAAATGGCCAGGATCCTCATCGCCTTTCGGCATGTGACCGTAAGCGAATCCATTGCCTTTACGAGTCCGATGCCATTTGAGGGTAAAAAATTGCTGCAGCAGCGTGGGGCTCCACCCTCCCCATAGCCCGTGTGTTGCTAAAAGAAGACTCGTCCGTTATCCCAACCACGGAGGGAAGGTACGTAGGTAGAAATAAGATCCCAACCTAGCACAATTGACAAGTTACCGCCGAGGTACCTACTCCTCTACTGCTTGTCTCTAGAGAGTGATTACGTACCGCAAACTCACGTTCTTAATGGGGGAAGGACGTGTAGAGTTTTCAGTTCGTTTAACCATTCGTTGGTTATGTGGAATAAGAGTAGAGTCGATCCACGAGAGCTTGTTTTGAATACTAGGAGCACAGATCGGTAATCGTTAGAGATAACGTGCACTACTGCGACTTGTAGCGAACTGGCCGCACCGGCCACATTTCCTGAATGCTGCCATCTCTACGTGTACTATATATATTATGTTATAAAGGATTGAGAAATTTACCCCATATTTGATTATACGATTAATCATATACAGAGCAACGGATACTTCGTGACGTCCCTCGTAATTGAGAAGAAAAATTGATGTAGAAAGCCTGACTGGAGATGCGGTCAACGTAGAAGCAGAATATTTCTGGCCGCACGGCTGGTCGCATTGTAGGTCGGACTAGATGCCAGTACGACTAGTGGTCGAGGCCGAAGCCGCTAATACCTAAACGACAGACTACATTATAATGCGCTCCCTAACTTTCGCGTGATTGGTTGGTGGGTGGGTCCCAATTTAAAAATTGGCGGGTTTCATGTTTATTAAAATGACAATAAAATTGAGGTATTGTGGCACAGTATATCGCTAAACAATTTATTAGCAATATATTGTGGTATTGGTACAAAGCGGATGATATTAACATTTTAGGATTAAGCTGACTAGTACAGTTTTATTAGAAATTAATATTTATTTTTCTTTTGACATTATGTAGGTAAAATTAAATTCTGACATTGTGTTTATTTAATTTTGATATGCTAGTGATGCTTTTTTTTATTAGATATATAGATATTGTTTTAATTTTTTTGTTTAGGTAATTTTTTATTACCTAAATTATTAATTATAACATTACCTATTATAACAAATTAGATGGCGTATATTTGAGTCTATAAGAAAAAAAAAAGAGTTCCAATATCGAACCAACATCTTCAGCACTATTTCGAGTAATACAGTCTGTCCCAAACCCTTTTTTCAGTGCGTCACTAATTTTGACGTCATATAGGATTTAAAGAATGTCAAGAATTATTGCATGACATTTTAGTTAAATCTGACAGTTGCAGGATCGTAATCGGCTAAATGTGAAAAGGTTATTTTTTTTAAATGCATAGCAGTTTGTCATAATTCTGTTCTATTCTGTTTTATTTTACACATTCCAAGGAAAGTGCTTAATTAGCTTAGATTCGTTTATGGATTTATTATTATTTATTACAAACACACAGGCATATTGCAATGACAATTGCAATTGCAAGGCATCAAAGTAAACATTCCTGTGATAAAATAACATCGATTTAAATCAGTCATATTTGGATAAGTAATTTTCTGATAAGTTTCTGTGGCAGCCAATAGTTTAATTTTGTGAAGATTTGTCATTAAATAGTGGAAATAATTTAAATAGTGAAGCAGTTGATTTTTGAGTTATTCTACCAGATTTGGTGTGCAAATGAAAGAAGGTTATAAAGTTTAGTCAAAAAAACAATATAAATAGTTTAAATAGTGAAGCAGTTGATTTTTGAGTTAATCTACCAGTTCCGGTATCCAGATGAAATCGTGTTAATGGAGTTTAGTTAAAAAACAAGATACCGAATGTAAGTTTACCTTCTTTTTTATGAATAACAAAAATAAATATTATATTTCAAACAATCCATAATCCCATTCAGAATCTGATTCTTTAAAATCAATGATTACACTAGATATGTGGCTGGTATCAATTATATCTTACATTTCAAGAAAATGTCGTGGTTCTAAAAAGAACCGTTTTAATACATATAAATATCCATAACGGTATTAGTTTAAAATATTTTCTCAATATCATTCCGCAATTCACAATCTGATTCGCGAACGACAGAAACTGATAATAAAGATAGCTCAGCCTCTTTTTCTAATTGAAACTAATTTAATAATTTTAATATTAGTCTTTGTTCATTCTCGGTATATCTCGGAATATTTAAAATATTTTTATGACAATAAATACAAAATTTAATTTTCACTGTAGGTAAAATGTCTGAAAATACTAACCTGGAACGGCAATTATCATTTTATCAGTTGACATTGTGAAAGTACTGTCACTGTCATTATCAAGATCATCTGTGTCAAATTATATTTATATGCATAATTGATTGGATATCTATTTAGCGTACTCTAAACTCCAACCAATTATACGTTCGTAAGTAGAATTCGCTTTAATATGCGAATACCCGTGACCGATACCTAATTTTCTAAGTTCTATGTATAATAATCAGCGACTCACGTTTTTTTCTGTCACTTCTAGCTTAATGCGTTAGAGAGAATTCGAACAACTATGACGCACTGAAAGAAGGGTTTGGGACGGACTGTACTTTCATCGAACATATTAAGTTGAGTTTGACTGAACATAAATATTTAATGATATGAAGTTAAGCTGACGGCGATAGTAAACATCAGATGTTGATATGTCGGGAGTCAGGAGTATACCATCATCACATGGTTTTGCTTTTTCGTGATTTTTTTATATTTTTATTTATTTATTTTCTTTTTTGTGAAAAAATATACCACAATTCGAATCGTATGGTTTCACAATGCACGTTAATTCTGCTACAAGAATTACCCAAACAACATCTACCACAATTGATTATATTCTTTCAGATTTCTCACCCCCTGATGTATGCTCTACAATTATTATTGCAGGACTATCTGATCATGAAGCAGTATATACCAAGCTAAACACTCCTAACAAACAATCCTCGAAAACCCAACGTTTAGGTAGGATTTCTCCACTCAGAACTTTCGTTAATTTCAAAATTTGTGCTTGACTTCTGGGTGGCACTTTCCCTCTGTGGACGTGGACTATAATTTCAGGGATTTTTTAGATGAGCTTCTCTTTATGTTCAATAAGGCATTTTCTTGAATTACAATAAGTCAAAACATCACAAATCCAGGACTACCAAAGGTATCCGCATGTCAGCCAAGAATATGCGTTCACTACTGTACATTAAAAAATTTATTACCAACGTCTTTGTCACTAAATATATCTCCAAGTACAGAGGAACCTATCTACAACTTATTAAAACCGCTAAAAAAATGTACTAGCAGAATCGACTGGGAAGCTTTAAAAATGTTGTAAGAGAAACTTGGTACATAATAAACTATGTTCGAAATAAAAATAATTTTAAAACCCTATAAATCTAAATGGAAACTTCGTTAATGTGAGCAAAAATATAACATCAACTATTTTGCCAGATCAAGATTCAATTTTTTATTGCCCCAATTCAAAAAAGGTCTAAAATTCATAGTTTATAAGACCAGTTGATACATCTGAACTAATTCAAATAATCAGTAGTATCAAAAGCAAATCTTCCTGTAGTACTGATGAACTATCCATAACAATTTTATTAATTTTCCCAATAAATGTATTGGAATTCATAGTCTCACTAATTAACGATTCCAATGAAAAAGGTAAATTTCCAGAGTGCCTAAAGACAGAAATTATTATTCCTCTTTATGACCTTCTATCGTACTACCAGTTCTATCCAAAATTATAGAGAGACTTATTAAATTACAACATTTTATCACAAGCTATGTTTTCTGTACTAAATGGAGTGTATCAAGCACTAAACAATAATTTTTATACTGCCACTGATTTTTGTGACTATGCTAAAGCTATTGATTTTGATAAAAAAACTAAATTTTTACGGAATTCGAGGTATTGTTTTGAATTGGTATCAATCTTACTTGAGGAATAGGAAACAACTAGTTTAACAGAGCAAATGATGCTGACTTCATTCACAAAAGCATTGTATGTGGAGTACCACATGGTTCAGTACTGGGTTCTCTACTTTTCCTAATCTTTATAAATGACATCACTAACTTACAAATAGATGGAAAATTTTTTCTTTTTTCTGATGATACCAGTATTACCTAAAGGAAGTCTAATATTGCAACTCTTCATGCAATTATAACTTCTGATCTACTTAACATAAAAACCTGGC